CGTCAGACAGGGCAAGATATGACAAAATAATAATTTATAAATTATCAAGGGCTCATGAGGGAGGGGGGAGAAGGGAGGGAGGGGAAAAAATGAGGACCTGATGCCGGGGGCTTAAGTGGAGAGCAAATGTTTTGAGAATGACGAGAGCAATGAATGTACAAATGTACTTTACACAATCGATGGATGTATGGATTGTGATAAGAGTCATATGAACCCCTAATAAAACGATTAAAAAAACTTCTAGAACTCTGAAAGGTGATGGGTTTCATGAATTAGGGCTTATCCGAAAACAAAGACAAGCTAGCCAGTACTAGATCAAATGGTTCTCTGAGTTCTTTATGCAGGCACACTGCTGGCATTCTATGAGTACCCTCTATTTGCAAGCCAGTACTTGGCAAAGGCTTGTTACAATGTGATCTATATTCAGGACTGATGAAAAGCTATTACCCGCCGAACACCGCAGGGACCTCTCCACTGGGGTGCCCATCTAACCACTGGCACGGAGCCACCATGGCTGAGTTCACCTTTGGGCTGTTAACGGTCTACACTCAGGACCGTCCCCAGCTACTCGGAGGACGGGGCTTTCTCCTCGCGCGTGGGTTTGCAGGCCCTGCCCTGCTGCTGAGTCAGAACTGAGTTGGTGGCAGATGCCAGAAGACATTGAGAGAGATGTGGGATATCTCAGGCTACCCCCCACCCCCACCCCCAGCTTTCAGACAGGGAGCCAAGGCAGTTTTACTTTGTGAGTCTTAGGAGAATTTTCGACCCCTCAAGTGCTCATCTTGACTGGGCTTGTGCTTTTCATAAACCCCAGAAACCATACAAGCTCAGGATGTGTTTTGACCCCATCTCCCGTGTCTGCTTCCCCAGCACCCACAGCCTTAGTACCTGTGACGATGGAGGGTGAAGTGTGTGTATGGTGGTGGTGGTGGTGGTGTGTGTGGGTGTGGGGGGGCAGTGTTACATAGTAAGGCACTGGTTAATGCTAGAAACCCAGGTTTGAAAGGGGGCAATCCCTCCAAGCAGGCTCATAACAGGTAAGGAGGAAAGAGGTTGCTGAAAGCCTCTGCCATGATCTCCTCTGCTCATTTTCAGAGAAAACCAAAGTTCAATACCTCCAGACACACCTCTGGGATGCACCTGCAAGAACCGGAACAGTTACTTTGAATCTGATCTGGTTTTTCATATTTTCTGGGTTTTTCCCCCTCCAAATGGGTGTTTACCTCTGTTGTATATTGTTATTGTTGGTAGCATTCTTGACTGTTATGTATTTTTCTCTTTTTTGGTATAGGAAACCCGAGTTAGATGAATCTGTGGAGACGATAAGGAGAATAAGGGCTCCTGGGGGGTATCCTGGGGTGTGTGGCAGGGGAGGCGGGGGTGGGTGGGTAATGGGGAGCTGAGATCAAGGATACACCAAGGAAGAAAATGCTTTGAAAATGATTGCAGTAGTGGCTGTACAACACTACCTGATACGACTGAGCTATTGAAGGGTATGATGTCTGGATTATGACCTAATAAAATGGTTTAAAAATGAAAGAAAACTGGGACAGGTTTAATCCTCAGACCCTAAAGGAAAACTGATGTTCTTTGTATGAGTTAGGCAGTGTGGACATTCGACCTAACAACAAGAGTCTACCAGAGGATATCGGCTACTAACCAAGGCTCTCAAGAGAACATGATGACATTTTCTTTAAAAACAAAAAGAAAAAGACTTACAAGAGGCTATAATAAAACCTACTGATTAGGATCCTAAGAACCCCACAGGAAGAACAGTGTTAAGAAATAGGTTTATAACTCTACACCAGACACCAAAAACCAATGGTAAGAGCTGGAGACCAGTGTAGCAAGGCTAGCGATCTCCAGTTACAGTGTTGAAAAAGCAGAAGGGAGAGTGGTATGTCCACAAGAAAGTTTCATAGAACTTTATCACTAAACTCATTTCTTAGAAAGGGGAGCCAAAATACTTAAAAATGTTAAAGCCGAAAAGCCTACTGCCCACAGGTACAAAGATTCTCTAACGTCATTGGGCTCTAGCAATGTGGGTCTAGCATACACTTGCCATGTGCTGTTATAACCCGTGCCTGTCATTCATCCTCATCCTGCACATTGTTTGCCTTCACAAATACCGTATATACTCGTGCACAAGCCGAGTTTTTCAGCACTTTTTTTTCTTGATTTGTTTCTTAAACAGTTTTGTTGACATAATTCACACATCATACAATTCAGTGACTTAAAACATATTTAAAAGTGCTGTGCAGTCATCACCACAATTTTAGAATATTATCTTCATTCTTGTTTGTTTTTTAAACATTTTATTGGGGGTCATACAACTCACATCACCAACCATCCATCCATCGATTCCGCACATTTTTTATGCAGTTTTTCTTTTTTTTAAGGGAGTTTTTGTGGTAAAATTAGGTCTCAGAAGAGATCTGGGTCGGCTTATACTCGAGTATATACAGTAAGTGCAAAAGGCCTAAAATCCTGCAAAGTTATCAGATGTAGAACCCTAGGCATAGATTTTTCAGATAAAGAAGGCTAAGTTTCTTAAAGATTGGCTGCACACCCTCTTACGAGCAACACAGTTGAGTTATGGTTTATGAGAAATAATTTTTATAATTAAAGTATAACAAAGGATGAGAAAGAACTGATGTATGGAAACAAAGTAAGCCTACCATTCATAGAGTACTTAAGTAAAGGCTTTTAATTTTCAATTTCCTTTGGTTACAGAATGAGAAAAAAACTAGTCTGTTGAGTTAGTCCTCACACCTTCGGCCTCATATAGTATGGAGGCATTCAGAAAGCTCTTTCTGAATCAAAGAAGCAAGTCAAGTGGTGATAAGTGGTGGGAAAATGTCCTCCGTAAAAAGTGGAGGAGGGACACAGGTAGACACTGCCCACAGAGCTCCTCTCCCTGCGTGCGTCCTCTGGTGCAGGGCAGGTGCTATTGCTGAAGCACTCTACATTCTCCCCACCTTCCCCCAATGCTTCTCATCCCCCCAAATACAGCTGTTCTATGACATGTAAGGAAGTGTCCCGTTCCCCCAAATCCTTGTCCTTCCACCCTGCATGCCTAGAGCTTCAGTGCTGTGTCCTATGGTGGATGCAGAATGACTTAGTTTCAGCATTAGCTTCACTCACTGCAAATATCAGACTTCTCATTGAAGTCTTTTCTGGTGTCTGGTGAGAGCTGACCTCTGGCTAAAGTCTCGGCCATACTCTTTCAAACATGGGGTTTCTTCTGCGTGAGCCCCCTGATGTTTAAGGAAGCTTCCTTTATAGCTAAAGCCTCGCCCACACCGACTGCACACATGTGTCTTCTTCCCAGAGTGTGTCCTCTGGTGCACAAGGAGATTTGATTTCCGGTTAAAGCCTCTCCCACACTCTGTGCACACGTAAGGCCTCTCCCCCGTATGTGTACTCTGGTGCACAAGGAGGTTTGATTTCCGGTTAAAGCCTCTTCCACACTCCTCACACACATAAGGCTTCTCTCCTGAGTGTGTTCTCCGGTGCACACGGAGGTTTGATTTCCATTTAAAACCTCGACCACACTCCTTGCATACATAAGGCTTCTCCCCTGAGTGTGTCCTCTGGTGCAAAATGAGACTTGTTTTCCCTTTAAAACCTCGACCACACTCCTTGCACACATAAGGCTTCTCCCCTGAGTGTGTCCTCTGGTGCAAAAGTAGGCTTGGTTTCCCTTTAAAACCTCGACCACACTCCTTGCACACATAAGGCTTCTCCTCTGAGTGTGTCCTCTGGTGCACCAGGAGCTTTGATCTTTGGATAAAACCTCTCCCACACTTCTCACACACATAGGGTTTCTCCTCTGAGTGTGTCCTCTGGTGAACAAGAAGGTTTGATTTCCAATTAAAGCATCGCCCACACTCCTTGCACACATAAGGCAAGTCCCCTGAGTGTGTCCTCTGGTGCCCAAGGAGCTTTGATTTCTGAATAAAGCCTCGCCCACACTCCTTGCACACATAAGGCTTCTCCCCTGAGTGTGTTCTCTGGTGCACAAGGAGGTGTGATTTCCGTTTAAAGCCTCGCTCACATTCTTTGCATACGTAAGGTTTCTCCCTCGAGTGTGTCCTCTGGTGTGCAAATAGGTTTGATTTCTGCTTAAAGCCTCGCCCACACTCTTCACACACAAAAGGCTTCTCCCCTGAGTGTGTTCTCTCATGCACAAGGAGGTTTGATTTCCAATGAAAGCCTCGGCCACACTCCTTGCACATATGAGGCATGTCCCCTGAGTGTGTCCTCTGGTGTCTGATGAAATGTGATTTATAATTAAAGCTTCGGCCACACTCACTACAAACATAGGGCTTCTCCCAGAAGAGGGACCTCTGGTTTGTGATCAGCTCTGATTTCAGGCCACAGTCTGATCCATCCTCTTCACAGGTGGCTGCTCCAAATCTTGCGGTACTTAATTCCTTCAACCTTTTGTCTGTTTCCACAGAGCCTACTCTTTGTGTTGAGATGGACTCGAATCCTATCACTTTATTGCTTGAGGACTGTCTTCGGTGTGGACTGCAAACCCCCCTTGACGTCTCCTTCTCCCCTGTCCCTCCCCACAAGTGTGTGGAGACGTCTTCTCTGCAATCCTGACCTTCTGTATTCTCGCGCCTACAGTTCTGAGGAGACTCCTGCTGCTCCGGCTGCTTCTGATGTTCTGGGCTGAGCCCCCTGGGAGGGAAGCGATGTTCTGCACAGAAGTCTGGGGAGAGCTGAACCATGTGCAGACTGGGGAACGGCTGACAGGAGAAAGTCAGAAGGCAGGAGGCACAGGGGTCGATCTTGGGCTTTGGGTCTGCTGAAGAGAGAAAGGTTTCGGTTAGAGTAGCTACAGTGGCTTGCCTGGGTTGTCCTGCCTTCTCTTAGGACAGAATGTCAGTGCTGGAGTCCCGGGGGACACAGCAGTTAAGCCTCTACTTGCATCCAAAGGTTGGTGGATCGGAAGGGGCCTGATCAGCAATGGCAGGGTCACACACTTGAACCGCCGGTGGACTAATTCTACTCGTCACACACCGAGTCCCACGACAAGAATCAACTTGACAACAGCTAACAATGCTATAGCCCATTTATCATTGACAATACATACAAAACAACTTATTTCCAACCAATAATTCATTTATCTATCTATTGCAATCTCGACAGTGCTGTGATGGCGAATTGGTTAAAGCACTTATTGCTAGCCAAAAGGTCAGCGGCTTGATAATACAGCTCTTTTTAATGTCGGAACTAGTGAATTGTGTGATGTGTGAATTATATGCCAATAAAACTGTTTATAAAAAACACGAAGTCCAATTTGACTAGGCCCTGTTCCTCAGTGATCTCAGAGATTATGCAATCAGCTTCCATTCTGCGACCTGATGCGAGCACCCCTTTCAGGTGAGAAGGGCATTTCCTTGGGATGTGATCTGCATAAATATATGTGGGTGTACTATAAACTATCACTTCATAACTAGTAATAAAGAACATAGATAACGAGTGCTAGAAAAAATGTAGAGAGACCTTAACAATTGTCCACTGATGTTGTGCGTGTACATTTATGTAAAACTGTTGGAAATGGCTGGCAACTCCTCGGAAAGTTAGATAACTTTCAACTGAGGTTTTTCTATGTTTTACTCTGCTACTGGGTTTTAGTTTGTTTTGTTTTTGCTTTTCTGTTGTATGTTTCTCTTTATAATGAGATCCAGGATAGGTAAGTCTATTGAGACAGTCACTATATTAACAGTGAATTAGGAAATGTTAAAACTCTCTGGGGCAGGAAAATAGGGCAGAAGTAACATCTCAGGGCTTAAGGGGACACTCACTCAAATGGTTTTTCTAAAATAATCAAGATAAAGAGCTCCGCAACACCCTTTTCACAATCTGCGATGCTTAGGGAGACTGTGCCATGCATCTAAATGGCAGATTGCTCATTCACACACACTTGTCAACCCAACTCACATAATATAGATAATCCCAACCTCCTACAAAGAGAAGCATCACTTCACTGCAGTGAATTTAGAGTTAGAGGCCACCTGGGCATACTTGGTCCTGGTATCTGCCAGGACAGTCGTGTTCTTGTCGCACGGGGAGAAGCAGCCGCCTCTAACACTGGCAATGCAAACCGAGACCCAGGACAGCCGCTGCTTCTGGGCACCCAGGGTATTTACAGGGTGATCGGGCAGAGGGTCACTCCTGACCAAATTTTTGTCTTTTCCTGTTATCACAGACACACAACACGCTGCAGGGTCCATTTGACACACACACGGACACGACCCAGAGATACAGGATTGTGAACCCTTTGAAGGAAAACTTGGGCAATTTGTAAGAAGAAAATGGAAAACTGCAAGGTGAGAAATGGGCCAGGAAAGTGGTGTGGAGGAATTCTTTTCCATCATATTTTTCAGACACCTGTTCATCAAAGAATGTTTCTTGTTCGGCATGTAAGCCTTTCCTTGACCTTTTATAGTAGAGGACCCACATAATATGTGTCCTTTTGTGTCGGCTTCTTTCTCTCATAATGGTCTCTAGCTTTACCCACTTTATGAGGTATCGCAGATTCTTCATTATTCTTTAATGGCGCATGTAGTATCACACTGTGCGCACATACCCTAGTTTATCCACTTGTTGCCATCTCTTTGCAAGTCTGAACAGTGCTGTGAGGAACATGGGTTAAATATCTATTCTCTTCTTGTTACTTCTCTAAGATTCTACCTGCTCATTTTTAAACTTATCTTTTTGTAGTTGATGTGTTGGTCTTTCATATAAATTAGAGATGAGTGCCTTGTCAGAAACGGCATTACTCAATTATTTTATCGGGCTGAAGGTTCTCATCTCACTCCTTTGTAAAAATCTGATATTCATAAAGGACTAAAGAACTGCATTAGTAGTTGATTTTTAGGAGATCTGATCATCTAGTAGATAAAATTATGCATTTTTTTAAAACTTACATTTCATGGGTCTATTTATTCCATACTTAAGGTCCCTAAAGTTTGCCCCTATTTGGTTTTTGAGATCATTATAATTTTAGACTTTCAATCCACTTTCAGTTAGTTTTTGTATACAGCATAAGGGGTGTTTCATGTTTCGTTTCTCAACAAACGGATATCAAGCTTGCCAGCATCATTTGTTAAAGAGCCTATCTCTCCCCCATTTGATGAATGTCAGCACTTTGTCTAAGACCAACTATCCACGGTTGGATGAATGGACTTCTGAGTTCTCAATCCTGTTCCACTAGTCTACGTCCCTGCTCTCGTACCAGTGTTAGGCTTAGGAATCACTTAACAAAAATCCAGGGTAGCTTTCCTTTACATGCATAGTTGATGACTGTTTTCCTATGTCTTTTAGGATGTTGCTTAGAACGATGAAACATACAACTTTCCTCTAGTTCTTTAGTACTTCCCCCCACTGCCCCGTCCTCATCATGATCCCAATTCTACCTTACAAGTCTGGCTAGACCAGAGGATGTACACCGGTGCAGATAGGAACTAGAAACACAGGGAATCCAGGACAGATGATCCCTTCAGGACCAGTGGTGTGAGTGGCGATACCGGGAGGGTGGTGGGGAGGGTGAGGTAAAAAGGGGTAACCAATGACAAGGATCTACATATAACCTCCTCTCTGGGGGATGGACAACAAAAAAGTGGGTGAAGGGAGACATCAGACAGTTTAAGACATGACAAAATAATAATAATTTATAAATTATCTAGGGTTTATAAGGGAAGGGGTGTGGGGATGGAGGGGAAAAATGAGGAACTGATACCAAGGGCTCAAGTAGAAAGAAAATGTTTTGAGAATGATGAAGGCAACAAATGTACAAATGTGCTTGACACAATGGATGGATGGATGGATTGTGATAAGAGTTGAACGAGCCCCCAATAAAATGATTTTTAAAAAAATGTTGCAGAGATTTGAGTTGGCCTTGGTTGGCTTTGCATTAATTCCAATCGTTGTTTTGGGTTGTACTGACACTTTCAAAATGGGCAGTCTCCGAGTCCTTGAACATGGCATGCTCTTTTTATATAGGTACCTTTTCTGTAATAATGTTTTCTGCTTTTCTAGGTCTAAGTCTTTGTAACCTGGTTAGGTTATTTTTAACTTTGGTAGCTATTATCAATAGCTACTGCATTGTTGTCCCGTTCAGGGTTCACTTTTGTAAAGGATACAGAGCAGTGGTTCTCAACTTGTGGGTCACGACCCCTTTGGGGCTGAACGACCCTTTAATAGGGGTCACCCAGTTCATAACAGTAGCAAAATGACAGTTATGAAGTAGCAACAACAATAATGTTATGGTTGTGGGGCCACCGCCACATGAGGAGCTGTATGAAGGGTCGCGGCAGGAGGAAGGTGGAGAAGCACTGCTACAGAGGATCACTAGTCCCACAACAGATTACGAGGAGGCCTGCTACCAACAAGGTGAGAAATTCAAACCCCACAGTTCCACTACGCCCATGTCAGGAACTGTACCTTATGTATTTATTTTAAAAATAAGTATAGAGATGAACTATTCTGTTAGTACTTTCTTTGAACATGGCTGGGTTCTATAGTGATTGGTGGCTGAAATCAGAGAATATGGCATGGTTTAAAATCAGGAAAGGTGTACGCCAGGATTGGATCCTCTCACCACTTGTTTAATCTCTACACTGAGCAAACAATCAGAGAAGATGGACTATATGAAGCACAATGTCACACCAAGATTGGAGGAAGGCTTGTTAACAACTTGAGATATGCAGATGACACAACCTTGATTGCAAAAAATGAGGAGGATCTGAAGCACTTGTTGATGAAAATCGAGGATTGCAGCCTTCAGTATGGATTACAATTGAATATAAAGAAGACTAAAATCCTCACAACTGGACCAATGAGGTAACATATGCCAAATGAAGAAAAGGTTTAAGTTGTCAAGGATTTTGTCATTCTTGGATCCACAATCAATTCTAATGGAAGCAGCAGGTAAGAGATTAAAGGACTGCATTGGGTAAATCTGCTGCATAAGATCTCTTTAAAGTGTTGAAAAGCAAGGCCGTTACTTTGAGGACTAAGGTGTGCCTGACCCAAGCCATGTGATCATGTCAAAGTTGGACACTGAATAAAGAAGACGGAAAAATAATTGGTAAATTGAGTTGTGGTCCTGAAGAAGTGCAGCCAGAGTGCTCCTTAGAAGGAAGGATGGCAAGACTCTTTTTTACATAATTTGGACATATTGTTAGGAAAGATGGGTTCCTGGAGAAGGACAGCATGCTTGGTAAAGTGGAAGGGTGGCAAAACAGAGGAAAGCCCGCAAGGAAATGCACTGACACAATGCACAATGGCTACAATGGGCTCAATCCCAGGAACAATTAATTGTGAGGATAGCACAGGACCTGGTAGTGCTTTGTTCTGTGTCTAGTGTTGCTACGAGTCAGAACAGACTTGTCGGCACCTAACACCAACAACACTTTCACCATTTTGAGCAGGGTTCTTCTACGGCATTTCTGATTAAGATGTTCAATAAGGGTGGATGGCACCATCCAGTACTTCAGGTCTCATGGAAAGGAGTCAATTAATACACCTTCAAATCCTCTCTTATTTCTGACTCTCCTTCTTTCTCTCTTGCACCAGGTTATGCCATGGCAGGCTGAAAGCTTTGAGGGCCCTTAGGCACTATGCAACGAACTAGCAGAATGGAAAAAATAAACAAGACCAAAGTTATTGTCAGTAAGTCGACTCTGATTCACAGCCACCCTAGAGGACAGGGTAGAACTTCCCCTGTGGTTTTCTGAGGCTGTAAGGCTTTATGGGATGAGAAAGTCCCACTATGCCACCAGGGCTCCTCTGACCCTAGAAGAAAACTACTCTCTACAGTACTGAGCTGTCCTATGAAGCCATGACCCTAACCTCCACACCACGAACCAAATCCCATGTTTGGGTTGTACATAAGGAGCATCAGCGGCTACTCTTTTTCTGCTTTTCCAATTCAATTTCACATGTGTTATTTTATTAACAACAATTACAATCATTGGCTGAGCAGCCGACTTACGATCAATGTAATTTTTCCATCACTGTTTACCCCACTTTCACCCTCCTCTGTACCCCAGGTAGCCCTAATAATCTTTGGCCTCTATAAAGTTGCTTTTTCTTGTGAGTTCTCCTACTGGCTGAGTACTACTCCACTGAGTGAATGTACAACACGCTCTTCATCCAGCCATCCACTGGTGAAGGTCATGCACTTGCAACATTTTCTGAATCCTATTGTGATGAGCACTGACATGCATGTTTCCGAGCCTGCGCTCTCAGATACCTGCTATGTATCAAAGAAAGCCATCGGGGAGCCACACGGGATTCCTACTTTTATATTATAAGGAGTCTCCATATTATTTTCATAAATAGCTATATCATTTAGCATTCATAGCAGCGATAAGGGTTCTAATTTCCCCACATAAATACCCAATTAAAAAAAACAAAAAAAATGTAGCTATCAGAGTTCGACTAAGTTGTTATTTTATGGTTTTGACTTGCATCTCAATAAAGGCTAATGACAATAAATATCATATTTGGTGGCCATTTAAATGACCAAAACATTATGGGAGGGTTTTGTTTAGAACAGTGGTTCTCAACTTTCCTAATGCTGCAACCCTTTAATACAGTTCCTCATGTTGTGGTGACCCCCAATCATAAAATTCCTTTCCTTTTTTTTTTTAACCATAAAATTATTTTCGTTGCCACTTCATAACTGTAATTTTGCTAGTTATGAATTGGGCGACTCCTGTGGAAGGGCCGTTTGACCCCCAAAGAGGGCACGACCCACAGGTTGAGAACCGCTGGTTTAGAGGTTTAATATCATGGCTTTAAGGGAAAGCACAGCATTGTACTGAATACTTTTCTACCTTCTGAGGACACGTTGAGCTACTTACCACAAGGTTAGCAGTTTGAAACCACCAGAGGCTTCCTGGTAGCAAAATAAGCCTCTCTACTCCCGTAAAGAGAAATTACCTTGCCAAATTGGGTGATGGGTGAGAATGGTTAGGGAAAAAGAAAACTCTTCTATTAGCTGCATAAAAAACATGATAGGTCAGTAAATCCCTTTTTAAAAGCTAGGCCTAATAACAGTGTCCTTTATTTCACTTAGAAGAATTGTAATGTTTTATTTTTCAAATTGAGATTTTAAGTCCATTTTTACATTTTTTTAATTTTTAATTTTTTTGAAGCATAGAATTCTATTTAATTTTTCTACATGTAAACATGTAATGTTCTCAACCCCTTTCATTGTAGGGACTCCTCTTTCCTTATTGAATGGATTTACGATCTTGTAAAAAATTAGTTAACCAGAGATGTATGAGTTTATTTCTGGACTCTCAATTCCATTCCATTGGTCTCCATGTCTATTGCTATTCCATGACTACCTATTGCTATGCCATGACTGTTACTACAGAAGGATACATGTTTAAATATCCAGGAGTGTGACTCTACCCATGTTTTTCTTCTCTTTTACTTGGTTTCCATTATTCAAGGACCTGTTACCAATCTGTATAAAGTCAAGGGTTGGGTTAGACATTTCTGGGAAAAGGCTGTTACAATTTTTATTAGGATTTTGTTGAATTTATGTACTGTTTTGTATAGTATTCAGATCTTTAACAACACTAAATCTTACAATTCAAGAACATGTAACGTGTATTTCATTATTAAGTCTTTAATCTCTTTCAGCAGTGTTTTATACCTTTATTGTGTCAGTCCTTCAGGTCCCTGGTTAAAGTTACTGCTAGTTGTTTTACTGTCTTACATGCTATGGGAAATGGAGCAATTTCCATGCTTCCTTTTCAGATTTCTCATGGCTGATGCCTTCGACACTGAAGCAGTCAGAGGTCAGTGCATCTCTGAATCATTACAAAGGGAAGGAAGAGCACATCCTCACCCAAGGAGAGCAGATCCCTGTACACCTCCAGCATGACTTCCCTGTAGAGGCTCTTCTGCTCAGAGCTCAGCCTCTCCCATTCGGCCTCCGTGAAGACCACGGTGACGTCCTCGAATGTCACCGGCTCCTGGAAGAAGGAATAGATCAGAGCTCAGCAAATCCGAAATTTTCCCTTTTGAGGGAATTTAGCAAATGGCATCAAAGTGTCTGGATCTGAAAAAGGTTATTTATTTCTTTTTAGATAACCCTGTTTTCCATATCAAGTTTTTCTGGACATGACCGTTTACTGGGCTTTTGATAAAATCTGTAGTTCAGTTAAATGATGCACAAACCATATGCTGGCCTTCAAACACATGACATCATTGGAGAAACATTTTCTGAATGAATCTGAAAGTATTGAGCAATATGTAAAAAATAATTTTTGACCTAATCCCAGGGCAAGTTATTGAGAGGTCTAATAAATTGTTTAAATTTTTAATAAAGGGAGATAGCGGATGGTGTAAGATATGAAAATAATAACTTATAATTTATCAAGGGAGGGAGGGAGGGAAAAAAAGGAGGAGCTGATACCAAGCGCTCAAGTAGAAAGAAAATGCTTTGAAAATGATGATGGCAAAATATGTACAAATGTGCTTGACACAACGGATGGGTGGATGAATTGTGATAGGAGCTGTAAGAACCCCCAATAAAATTATTTTTTTTAATGAAATTGATGAAAAATTTTTTGGAAAAAATAATGATCTGAAATGTAAATCCCCAGCGTTTTCATAGTAGTTTTACTTATCTATTTATTTTCAAATAACACCAGGCTTTAATATGAATATACATATATATAGATAGATATAGATATAGATAGATAATACTTATGAATATACATATATATAGATAGATATAGATATAGATAGATAATACTGCTTCTGTATAGAGATGACCAACTCTTTTGATATGGATAAAATGTGCTAACTAAGGGAATGCATGGCCTAATATACAAGTCTCGCTAACAAAGACCTCCATACCACACATTCTACTTTAGGCATGAAGATGATGTCAAAAAGTGTTGCTGTAAAATAATAGAAAACTTAAACAGAAACATGAACATATGAGGCGGATGTTTCATGTAAGCCCATCCACTTCTGCAGGCAGTGTTCCCAGCTCTCTACATGTTCCCTGTGGAATCCTGCACCATTCGAGTTACAACATCAATATATTTTTAAGTGATTTTGGAAATTCTTAACTGAGAAATTAAAAAAACGAGAGAGTATCATGGGCTAAAAGGAATGAAAGGTATCATAGAGGTAGGGTTTAAGTGAGGCCTAGGGAGGGTCAAAAGCAGGAGGAAGAACACTTCAAGGGTAAAGTGGGAGTGCTCCAAGGGGTTGGGAAGGAGCATATCTAAAGACTACAAATAACTAAATGGGATCTGTAAAACTATCATTTATGTTTCTGTATTTTCAAAACTTTGTCAAATAAAATCTGCACCATACAACCACTCAACATGTAGAAAGGGGTTTCAAATACTTCAGGGAAAATTATCATGAACCTTTCATTGCATTTTTTTCATGAAATTATTAAAGCCACTTATATTGTAAAACAGTTAGTAATAAAATGGTAGCAATATTCTAGAGAGAAATATTTTAAATGACTTAATGCTTCACAAAAGGGGTCAAAGTTATATAAATGTTGGGGTCTTAAAGGCTTGAAGGTAAACAAGTGGCCATCTAGCTGAAAAGCAACCAAGCCCACATGGAAGAAGCACACCAGCTTATGTGATCACAAGGTATCGAAGCGATCAGGTTCCAGGCATAAAAGAAGAAAAAAATCATATAATTGTATGCTTACTTTCCCCATACGATTGCTGAAGACAAATGGGTGCATAAGCAAATATGATGAAGAAAGCTGATGGTGTCCAGCTATCAAAAGGTATAACATCTGGGGTTTTAAAGGCTTGAAGGTAAACTAGCGGCCATCTAGCTCAGAAGCAACAAAGCCCACATGGAAGAAACACACCCAACCTGTGTGACCACGAGGTGTTAAAGGAATCAGGTATCCGCATCAAGGTACAAAAAATCTTATCACTGTGAATGATGGGGAGTACAGATTGGGGACCCAAAGCCCATCTGTGGACAACAGGACATCGCCTTACACAACGGTTGTGGGAGGAGACAAGCCAGTCAGGGTGCAGTGTAACAACGATGAAACATACAACTTTCCTCTAGTTTTTTAGTGCTTCCTCCCCATCACTATCGTAATCCCAATTCTAATTTACAAATCTGGCTAGACCAGAGGATATACACCGGTATGGGTAGGAACTGGAAAACATGAAATCCAGGACAGATGAACCCCTCAGGACCAGTGCTGAGAGTGGCGATACCAGGAGGGTGGAGGGAGGGTGGGGTAGAAAGGGAGAACCGATGATAAGGATCCACATATAACCTCCTCTCTGGGGAATGGACAACAGAAAAGTGAATGAAGGGAGACGTCAGACAGTGTAAGATATGACAAAATAATAATAATTTATAAATTATCAAGGGTTCATGATGGGGGGGGGATGAGGAGCTAATACCAAGGGCTCAAGTAGAAAGCAAATGTTCTGAGAATGATGATGGTAACAAATGTACAAATGTGCTTGACACGATGGATGTATGTGTGGATTGTGATAAGAGTTGTATGAGCCCCAATAAAATGATTAAAAACAAAACAAAAACGTTATGTAAACGTTTTGTTCCTGCTGTTGTTAGGTGCCGTTGAGTGGGTGCCCAGTCAGAGACCCAGTGTCCAGCAGAAGCACACGCTGCCTCGGCTGAGCTATCTGACGACGGTCATGCCGGAGGCCATTCTCACAGCAGCCACTTCGTCATTCCTCTTGTGGCCAGCCTTCCTCTTTTCTGCTGCTTCTCCACTTTAGTTATTATTATTATTAAAACTACTTTACCAAGCATGATGTCCTTCTCCAGGGACTGGTCTCTCCTGAGAAGATGCTCAAAGTACATGAGTCTAGACATCTTTGCCACTAAGGAGCATTCTGGCTGTACTTCTTGCAAGACAGATGTGCTTGTCCTTCGGGCAGTCCATGGTCCTTTCAGTAATCTTTGCCAGCATCGATTCTTCTCTGGTCTTCCTTATTCAATGTCCAACTTTCACTTGCACCTGAGGCGACTGAGGTCAAGTACACTTAGTCCTCAAAGTAGCAACTGTGTATTTCAACATTCTAAAGAGGTCTTGTGCAAAAAATTTATGCAGTGAAGTCTAAGACTCTTGTCTCTGCTTGCCAAAACAGGATACTGAACATTATCTTTAGGAGGTAATGTGATGCCAATTGACCTTTGTGTCTCCTAAGAATAAGGTCTTGATTCCCGTGATTCAGTGAGTCAATTCCTCAAGGCTTATGGGAACTTTTTAGATATAACCAAACACCTTGAGGATCTGATTCATTGGATCTTGGGTATCAGGACCGTAGACAAAGGAGACACGGGGTCAATTGGCATACCACAGTTCACAGAGACAATACTCCATACATTATTTTGGTAAGCAGAGACTAGGGATGTCGTGCTTTGCTGACCAGTCACTAGTATATTCCTGTTTTCATGTCTGCATATGGCTGAATGGTTACATGGCTAAGGGAATCAGTGCTCGCATCTGTAATAGTTTATATCGTTTGCAATCCGAAAAACAATAAAGAAAAAGTATGTGGTAATCTTGGCTCTACAAATCTTCACCTAATACAAAAAAGCCTAAAAGAGAAAAGAAAAAGAAAACAAAATACTGTCACCCTTTGCTGCTGAATCCATTCTGACTCAAAGCAACGGGCCAGAGAAGTGTCTGCTGGGCTTCTATACTTGTCATCTTAATAGAAGCAGACCACAAACCACATCCTTCTCTCGCGGCATGGTCGGTGGGTGAATTTGAACTGGTGACCTTTTACTTAGGGCTGCAACTTGATCCCACACAATCAGAGGTCCTACAAATACTTGATTGCAATATCATTTTAAAATCACCTCTGGCATAAGAACACTGGCAAACGTATCCAAGAGCGTACCAACAGCAGAAGACAAAAGAGACACCAGAATCTCCTACCAACACCTGTGAGCATCATCGCGAGTCAGCACAGGGCCTACACACAGGCAAAAAAATTGGCAATGACCTAATAAAAGAAGACTCGGGTCTAAAACTATAACATTTTTGCATGCCTCAGCAACAATAAACTAGCCAGTGAAAAGATGGGTAGAAGACAAGAGTAGACACTTCAAAGTAGACATGCAGGTAGCAGAAAAACACCTGAAGAAATGCTAGAGGACATGTCATTAGAGATGCAAGTCAAAACGAGATACCACCTCACTTCAATATTAAAAGCAAAGTTACAATAAAACAATAGAAAACAACAAATGCTGGCAAAGGTATGGAAAGATTAAAACACTTAAATGGTGCTGGTGAGACTTTAAAATGAAGCCAATGCGGAAAACGGGGTGGTGCTTCCTTAAGGGATGGCACACCACTAACTAGAGGTCAGGCAGGCATTAAGTTGAGTGAAGAGAAAGGCAATGTACACTAAGGGGGTGGTCATCACAAAATGAGCAAGGCAAAGGAGACACTGAGAGCACCACAGAGCTAATGTCAACAAAGGTAAATGGTACCACATACCCATCCTGCAATGACCGCACTGAAAATCATCATCTACAAGTGGGTACACAGACAGGAAAGCTGAGCAAGGGTGGGAAGAGGAGTGGGACATTTCTACATATGTACTTACATGTGCACATATAAACACACAGCACAGCATACAGGGAGGGGCAAAGTTATGACAAGTTCTTAGGTGTAAAGAAACACTTTAAATGAATGAGTCGCTGGACCTGGAGGCTCAAGACCATAGTCTGAGGTTATACCAGCCTCCACCGGGCATAATATGCCCACAAAGACAATATTCTACAACTGACTTTCTAGTGAGTAGTGACTGGGTATATCAAAGCTTGTGAGGGCCCATTTACGGTCAAATGATCGCTTTCTTCCTGTCTCAAGTAAAGACAAATGAAGAAAATCAAAGATAGTAGACCAAAATTAGTCCAAAGGACCAATGCAGCACGCAAACCACAGTCTCCGTGACCCTGAGACCAGAGGACTGGATGGTGCCTCTCTGTTTTGAGTGATCGCTACTGTTCTATGTTTAGCAAGTTCAATTATGAAAGAGTGAAAATATGCCCACGGTACAAGGTGAGGACTGCTCTGAAACAGATCACAACAGCAGGCCCTGCATAGACAGTGTGGGACAAAGTGTAGAACAAAACTCAGCATACTGTAAGAAGACCAGGTTTCCCGGCCAGATTTAAGCTAGTGGAACACCCAAGATTATGGCCCTTTTAGACAACATTCAGACTTAAAACTGAAATTACCATCATGGCTTCACATTATATGCACTGCTCAGAACAAGCAAAAGGGTAGCATTGGCCAGGGATAAAGTTCAGAAAGCAGGAAAGGAAGAAAGACAGAAACATAAAAACACAGGGAAGAAATGGGAAGACTGCTGTTACATTGTGGGTATTTCAAATCAATGTCAAAAATCAAAACACGTACGAACTGTTGAACAGAAAACCAATATGCTCTGTACACATAAACCCATATCATAATGACTAAAAAAGGGGGGAATAAACCCCTCAGGAACAATACCATGAGGGGAAGGTGAAGGTGGAGGGAGCAGGGGGAGAAAGGGGGAATCGATCACAGTGATTGACATATAACATCCCCACCCTCAGGAGGGGGCCAAACAACAGAAACGTGGGTGAAGGGAGAGAGTGGACGATGTAAGATATGAAAATAATAATTATAATTTATCAAGGGGCACAAGGGGTTGGAGGGAGTAGAGCTGATACCAAGGGTTCAAATAGAAAGAATGTTTTGAAAATGATGGCAACATATGAACAAATGTGCTTGATACAATGGATGTATGTATGAATGGTGATAAGAGCTGTAAGAGCCCCCAATAAAATGATTTATTAAAAAACGGGAGGGGGGGAGCAAAAGTTTTGTGCAGGAACAGAGCAGACAAGTTTTTATTTTATCTTTTTTTTTTTTTAACATTTTATTAGGGTCTCATACAACTGTTATCCCAATCCATACACATATCAATTGTGTAAAGCGCATTTGTACATCGTTTCTCAAAACATTTTCTCTCCACTTAAACCCCCAACATTAGGTCCTCATTTTTCCCCT